TGAAGGGTGCCAGTTCCTGATGTCTAGCATGTGCCGAAGAAACAAGGCCGTATGCAATGTTTTCAAGGATCGAACGGTCTAGTAAAGATGGTTCTTGTTGAACGAAACCGATATTTCCACGCAAGTAGCGGACATTGATATCTTGGAATTTGGTCCCACCAATGGCCACATACCCAGATTTCGGATCATAAAATCTCTCCAAAAGAGAGACAACCGTCGACTTTCCACCACCGGAGGGTCCGACGATGGCCGTATGCGTTTTGGGTGGGATGACGAAGCTCATGCCCTGCAGCACGGGAACCTCCGGACGTGATGGGTACGTGAAGTGGACATCATGAAACTCGATATCCTCCTCGCCGAAAGGCGCCGACTTATCGCCCTCATCCGACGTTCCATCAATAGCAGACTCCCGGTTGATGACTGCCTGAAGTCTTTGCGAAGCACCAGCTGCGGAAGCGAAAACATGGATAAAGGGGGCAACCTGACTCAGAATAAAAGAAGCATCGATGAGGACAAAGATTACTGTATACACAGCACCCACAGATACCCCTGAGTTTTCATTGGCCACGGAGTGAGCGATCATCTGGGCACCTTCCCAGAAAGCCAGGGCGTTGGCGGAGTAAGCAACGAAGTAAAGGAAACCAAGCTGCGCAGCATGTGTGCAGGCTTTCTTCAAGGTGTCCATGTGAGACGCTGAGAGATACGAGGCGAATCGCGTCTCCAGGCGATCGTTTGCATTAAACGCATGGACTAACGTCAAGTGCGACAAGCTGGATGAGGCTATGGATGTCGCTGAGCCAATGTTTTCAGTTATACGGCCGGCATACTTCTTGATATAGTGACCTCCAAGCAAGGACATGACCATGAAGCAAGGAACCACGGAGACGAGCATTCCCGCGATTTTTGGCACTTTGATGAACGCCACGACATAGGCAGCCACAAAGTATGAGATAGTCGTGATAACCAGGCCTACCTTCTCCGAGGTTCCCGACTGGATGACCTCAACATCGCTGACCAGGCGCGAGATGATGTCACCAGTGGGAAGAGTCTCAATGAAGTTTGCCTCCTGCTTGACTATACTTTCGAAATACCTCCTACGATAACGGCGCGCGAGCCGTTCGCTTACTGTGCACCAGCATGACGTGTGAATGTAGATAAAACAAAAATTCGCGATGGTGATGTAGATCACATACAGTACCTTCTTGGTCACACTGTCCGAAAGCTCGGTTGTGGCGTCCGTAGAAGGCGAGCAAGTGACCGTGTTGAGGTCGTTGATCAAATCACCAAAGACAATGCCGAGCAATGGGAAAGGAAGCCCACCGGCAATAGCAAATATTGTACCACAGATTATAAGGAGCACATCTGTTATGGTGTAGTCGAGCGAAAAGAGCAGCCGAATGTATGCAAAGCACTTCCCAAGGTCCTCCTTAGTCGGAGTGTATTTTTTTACGGCTTGCACCTGGAACAAAAGCTATATCAGCAACCGCCGGATTTCTCAGAAGGCCACCCTACAAGGATAGCCAAAAAAAAAAAAAAAAAAAAAAACGAGGACGACAACATACAAAGCCATTGTTGGCATCATTAGGACTCTTCCGTCCATTGTCGACATTCTCAGTCTGTGACATGGTGATAGGTGTTTAGGAAACCCCGCAAGTGGAGATAAGAGAAGTGGAACGGCGACAGTCTTTGCTGCGGGGTATTAAGATATACAAGATCCTATCAATCCCTCCCGTGCCCAGCGCACATTCAATGAGGTGGGCAACAGCCTATCTCGTGTTTTTTCCGAGAGATGTTGGCAGTGCGGTCCTAGAATTTCGTGGTCGAGGAGGCTCAGGAAGCCAAACGACAAACCAAGTGAAAGATTCAATGCAGAGTGCACTTGATCTCTCGAGTTAGAACTCAAAACTCCCCACAATTGAGCAACCAGCAATAGCGGGAGAGTGAAATGGTTCACCCAGACAAACACCCCCAATAAGCATCCCTCGGGGAAAGACGATGCTCGAGAACAGTGGTCAGGCACCGCGTACAAGTGACACCAGAAAGCAAACAGGAAGGGTCAAGGAAAGAACAGAGAAAGAGAAACCAAGAAGAAAGGGAGAAAAAAGAATTTAGCTAGGAAACCATGACACATACCCATGCCCACAATGGATACGCTAGAGGCGAGGGGATTTAGCATTAGAACGGCTCCGGTTGCGGCGCCCAGATTCAACACCATTGATTGACGCCATGGACAACAGTGGGAGACCAAGAGATTTTGCTCTGCAAAAAGCGGAGTAGCCAAAGAGCGAAACAGATGGGAGAGCCAGAGGTTACGAACTTCCAAAAGGCATGATCTCCACTTGGCAGGGGAGTGGAGAGGGGCGGCCTCTGGTTAGTCTCTCTCAGTGGATATCCGATAGATTGATAATTTTTTTCTTCATTTTTTTCTGTCATTTCGTTTTTCCGCCCAGCAATGTGGGAAATGATCGACCACTCCAAGTGGGTTTTCAGGCAGTGTGAATTTTCTGATGCAGAAGCACGGCACGAACCGACTATTGGGCGTCTTGTCCAGACCAGTGGGGCGAGTTCATTGGTAATGGTGTGGTTCCTGAAGCAGGGTAGCCGAGGGTATCATTCTCGAGGAGGCATTCTTCTAGTAGTTAGTAGAGAGGTGAGGCGGGATGGTACGGGGGTACAGGGATACAAAAATTCAAGCAAAGAAAGATAAAAACTCGGGTTGTGGAGGTCCGAGTCAAGTGATATGCACATCATCATAACAAAAGGTGTTGATGCTTAATGATAACAATGGCGATCCATCACAGTTCGACATAATACTCATTATGCAATGGAATCGGGCAGGTGTAACAAGACCTGCCGTGGGGTTTTTATTATCGAATAAAGTTATGCGTATGTCGCCAATAAGCAAGTTGGCGGGTCTGGGCGTGGGAGATTTTTCGGTTCGGAAATTCTCATCTGATAACTCTGTCGAAGAATCACCTGCAGTCTCGTCACCAATCACGGCCCGCGGTCGTCACTTTTACTCGAGCCGAGGAAAACAGATCCGATCGCAGGTTCAACTCGTCGTGAGTTTCTCCTTCCACCATCTTCTCTCTTTTTCCCCAAGTTTGTCCACTCTCAAGCCCACCCCTTATGCGCCAATGATCGACCCATCCGAACTAATTTGCGTTTCACAGCCTCACAAAATTAATCTCCCAGTCCCAACAGCCACACTAGATAATAGCGTTATTACTTGATCGACTAGCCCCGTTCAAGGACCCAATTCTGACCTAGAAAAGACGAATTATAGACTCATGAAGTTTCCAAATTGGCTCATGATGGGCTTTTTTTTTCGTCCGTCAGCACCCACCTTCTGGGTTTGGGAGATTTGGATATACTCCTGTACTCGTCACACAAGGAACCTTTTTCTTAATTTTATCTAATCTGATTGATCGATAACGACGTCGCCCCTTGACAGTTTCAGATGGATTCCTTGGCATACCTCTACGTGGAAGTGCCCCCCTTCCCTAATCCCCCCCCCCAAAAAAATAAATTAAAAGAACAAATTAAGTTAACGTACATAGATCTACACAGTACGACTCACAGCCCAACATGCCCAAATGGGAACGTGGTGGCAACTAATTGGAGTGCAAGGCAAAAAAACTATGTGGATGACCCAGCAAAGCAAAAAGAAGTGACCCAAATATTAAAGTCAATAAAAGAGCCATTCATTATGCGAATTAATTCTTTTTCTCCCATTCCCGTGGTAGAACACCTTTGGCTTACGTTAACCAGCCGTATCCAGAAATCAAAAAGGGGCATTCCAAAGGCTGGATCTAATCAGATCGGCATCTAATCAGATTCGCGGATTTTACTTCATTGGATACCGCCGATGATCGGGCCTGTCCGACTCTTCCGGTGTCACCTGTTGCTCTATGATATACATCTTTCATCATGATCGATGAAAGATACAAATGGCTGGAATGCTTCGGCTGTGGCAATTCCCCTTGAGAAATAGCCCCAGTACCTCCATCGCCGAGCTACCTAATCCTATCAACAGCATTCTCTAGCATTGTACCTACGAATGCAAAAATAATCTCGAAAAAAAAAATGTCCAATATAGTTCCAAGACGCTTCTTCAATGACGCTTATACTGTGTAACTGGACCCAAACTTGTGTCGTTTTCTACTGGGCCTCTATTGGTACGTCCAATAGGTAATTGTCGGCGAGTGCCCCTTCTCCAACAATGGATCCGAAGAACCGGGTCCCCCTTTTTTAGATTCATTTAATAAGGTTGCTCGCAAAGAGCTCGCATAGGGTGAGGAGGTTGAGAGGTGTTTTGGACAGCGTCCATCTGAGAGAAGAAGATGTTGTTAGCGAAGAAAGGGTAAAAGTATGCCTAACTGTCTGGATATCGGGGTAATATTGAGGAAGACGGATACAACGCATTTTGGATGATTTATGACTCAATGAGTAATGGTAACTAGGCATTCGTGCTGATTGAGTGACTGGGGTTTAGGTCTAAGGTAGGGACAAGGGGTATCTCTTTTCGAATAGGAGAGGCATCGTCTATAAGTTAGCTTAAGTATATGTTACACTGGAATACGCTGCTTTAAGCCTATTTGGTATGAAGTGATGTATTAGCTGATTGGATGTAGCAAACCTATAGACCACCCTAGTGTGGATATTGCCAGGAGCACTCATTGATACTATATCATTGCATACTCATGGCATGCTGGGAGAATCTGCTGATATGTAGATAAGTTGTTGCTGAGCCCTGACTATACCTCACATTGCCTGAACTATACTAGCAGTAGGTGCACTAGTAATTCTTTGTTGGTATTGTACTGATTTTAGTGGCTCCGATTCTATCAAGCTCTCAGTATCCATTATGGCCTACCAATGCTCTGTATCCTAAAAATAAATTTTCTAATAACCCTAATCCAACGGACCCAATTCCAATCATACAAAGGGGTATATACGAAACCACTGAAGAGCCCAAATCAAAAACAACCAGAAGCATATTAATACCCGATTTGCTTAACCAAAGCTTCCCCCCGCACCTCACCCTCAATATCAACATCAACATCAACCTCCACCGGCCCAAAAAACTCCTCAAAGGTGTTGACCAAAATCTCTTCACTCAACTGCATATGCTTCCCAGGAACAGACCTGAAAACCAATCTCCCCTCTTCATCCAGCTTCTTTAACCCAATCCAATCCTCTCTATAAATATCCCTTTCCCTCACGCCGACAACATCCCCTGTCTCCTCATCCAGCTCCCCAAACCACGCACTCTCCTTCGGGTGCACCATCTGATCCTCCTCAAACATATACATCGCAAATGTATTCAACCGCTCTAAATTCTCCCGATACGTCTCATTCTTCTCCTCGCGTTCGTTATTCACATCGGCGAGAAAATTGCTATTGGCTAGGTACTCGTCCAGCTCTGTCGGATCGCGGAAATACTGTGCGGGGACGAACCGACCCTGCACGAAGGACGACCAACGTCCTGCCCGGAGGAGAGCCTCCGCGCCACGGCAGATCCAGTCGCCCCAGCCGCATTCTTGGAATTCGGCAATGCCGTTATGCTGGCTGCCGAAAGTAACGAGGTTGTGGACTGGCGGCGCATTGCAGCGTTCAATGTAGCCACGGAGGAACTGGCCGCCTTGAGAGAATCCGAGGGCGTTGATTGCCGGGGCCGTGCTGAGGATGCGGTCGGAGGCGAGCTGGGCGCAGACGGTGTCGATTTGCTCACTGACGTTGCCGAGGAAGGTGGCTTGGCGATCGCCGGAGGCGGTGTCTGAGAGATGAATGATGTGGATATAGGTTCCTGGGTTGGTTTGTTCGGCGAGGGAGGCGACGGAGAGGAGGCCCTCGCGTTGGAAGTCGTCGCCTAGGCCATGCCAGATAACCAGTGGAAGGGGTGCGGATTCAGTGGTTTTAGGCTGGTGGAGCGGAATGGCAGTTGTGAGGAAAGGGATAGCTAGAAGCGTGAGGGTGCGCATTGTTGTGGTTTTGTTGTTATTGGATGTGGTTTGCTGAGGTGTGAGATTGAGACAGGGTTGGTATAGATTAAAATAGGCTGCAGTTGTTGTACAGTGAGGCTGCGGTCACGAGCCCCGAACATGTGATTTATCATGCAATGCAATGTATGCTGTAGATCGACACCATCACTAGAACTCCAGGTTTATATTACACCGATCTATTCTCAGTACTCAATGTTGATCAAGCTAGTCTACACATCAAGGATACTCATTGGTGTCTTGTATATACACAACTTGTCTTTATAAGTAGGGTATCTTTCGGTTAAGCGATGGCGGCTACATATATACAAAGAATCACAATGTCATAGAATGTCATAGAATGATAAACCGCGTATATTCACAGAAGCTAACTCAAACCACAGAAAGCAGACGAAACCTTTTGATGCAGACAGAAAAAGCAAAGCTCGGGCGGGTAACCATAGGAAAGTCTATCAGATCATACGCCATTATCGAGGGAGATAGGTGAGATGGCAAAGGAAGGACAAGATACCGGACAAAAGGAACCCGAGAATGTGATGCAGAACAGAAAAGAGAATGCAATGATGGGGAAAAGGTATAAGGTAAAACTAGATATGTGCAGGGTCAACAGAATGGTAGAGGAGCAGCTGCTTGGCAACCATAACAAATGAAAGGTAATAATGAATGCAAGGTAAGAGAGAAACGGGCTTCACAAAAGTGAAGTACACTAATACGACATGTATGGGTATGCCATCAGTAGGGAGGGCGCCCAAGTCCTCCACTCACGCCTCGTCGCCCTGTATTACTTCGGGCCTTCCGTCTGCTGCCCCTCGTCTCTGCGTCCGCTGGCGACAAGAACCCTTCCAGTAGCTTTTGCACGTCAAGGCGAGCGCTATCAATATTCTCTGCATACGGTTCAATACCGTCAGTGGCAGCCGCTGCCAGACCTGTGCTCGATCGACTTTTATCTCTGCTAAGAGACCGACCAGGCGACGTACCAGGTGTCCCTGCCTTTCCGTTCGTGACAGATGGTCGGCGAGGTCCGGGAGCAGTTGAAGGGCGACCAACCGAAACCGACCGCTGCTGACCATCTGAAAGACCACCTTGAATAGATATAGATGGAGGGATTGGCGGTACAGGCGGAATATCATCAGCATCTACCATGAAAGACAGAGCCGAGGCCCTGGGGGTTTCCTCTCCATCAAGAGAGATCCGCCCGCCTCTGGTAGACTGGGGCTTGACCGAGGCACCATCGTCAAACTCGGACAGCGAATAGCCACTGACCATACTGTCGCTACTGGAAGAGATAACACTTCGATTCGAGCCGTCGAGTCGACCCCTGAGCGGGCTCATTCGCCGGGCCTTGCCTTCTTCATTGACAGAGAGGACCCGTCTCAGTTCATTCACGTGGACCGGAGATTCTCTACTGGTGCTGATGAGCTGTGAGCGGGACGAGTTCGGCACACTCGTTCTTCGGCCATTCTGCAGACCAGCTACAGATGCGTAAGCACCTGGAGGCACAGATGCGTTAGAACTTGCTGACGGAGAACTAGTCCCGTTCTGATGAACATGGTTGCGTATAACTAAGGTTCCGGTCCGCGATCCGCTCAGGGATTTGGCCTCTGCTCTTTCATTTTCAGCAGCTGCCAGGCAGGCTTCTCTTGACCATGGAGATAGCATCTGCTCCCTGACCGCAGGAGGAAGGACGCTAGCCTTCGGTGTAGCTGCGGGCGCCGACATGTGCGGCAGTACAGGAGCTGTGATGCTTCGCGGTGGGGACCCGACAGACCCCGGAGAGCTTGGTGGGCTGTGAGTAAGTAAAGTAATGAAGGAACCATAAGATGCTTCGATTCGCTGGATGAGTTCTTCGCCGCCATCAAACGGAATCAGGAGGCTCACGTCCTGAGCACCACGGCCACTAGCCTGGACACTGCTGCTGTGGACAATCTTGTTAAGGCTGACGGGCGGCAAGCGGATTGTCTCAAGCCAAACACCAAGCTGTTGTCTTTTCTGAACTTCACTCTGGATTCCGTTACCAATCTTGGAGGTGTCCAAATCGAACTTCTCGGATAATGCCCACAGGTAGCCATAGACCAAGCTTCCAATATTCACCAGGGTAGGGAAGGGCTGGCCATCGGCGGTGGCCATATTGTCCTGAAGTTTCAGCACCATGGGGAGTCCAAATCTAACAGCGTTCACTCCAAGATGCTTCACCAGGCTTACTAAGAGTAGATGAAGCAGCATAATCTCGGAAACAGACGCCGGGTGATCAGTCGCAAGGTCAAAGATAGTGAGATGGAGTAAGCGAAGGAAGTTAGACTGCGCAATGAGAATCACCTTTTCTCTCTGGTTTCCGCTCATGCTGGCAGTGCGCTTTCCAGACCTTTCCGCGGTGTCTAATAAGTCATTCCTGACCGGTTGACTGGCCTGCCTGCCAGGTCTCTCCTTAACCTTAAGATCATCGGTAGATGTTTCCAGGTTCAGCCAGGTCAAAAAGGCATCGACGTATGCATAACGAACATCCCTGTCGGGTTCACTCAAAAGCCACTGCGTACCTTCCCATACATAGAGGCCCACCTGATGCCTGGATTCTGCGGTTAGTGTGACCCCTGGCCGCTTCGTGTTTGCAACAAGGAGGATATTCTTGATCGCTTTGAGAGCTGCCGTTTTTGCGCTGGGCAAGGAGAATGCTATTGGGCCACCCTCCCCAGACGAAAACATAGCACTACCGCCTCCCAGGGCATCGGACTGCGTTGGTGACGAGGTTATTGCCTGCTCGTTGCCTCTTGAAGGTTTGAACCGAGTCAAAATCGTCCTGACCATGTCAACAACCTGCTCACCATAGTAAATGTGCGTTGTGAGGTTGCCAATACAATCCTGCAGGAGTGAGACCACCTCTGCCCTTTTCGCCGAAAGCTCTAGAGGGGTTGAATGTCCGTTTTGCTTCTCATCTGGTGTCGATTTTCCAGCTCTCGAGGGTGATGTCAAGAACGACATATGACGCAAGAGACCCAGTAAGACATCAATAACGCTAAGTCCGATCATATTCACGGGGGATTTTAACAGCCGATCAATCAGATAGATGATGGCGTATGATTCGTCCAGAGACTCTTCTGTGGGAGGAATGTCGTACAGAATATCCATAGCGGCCACCAGAATAATAAAGCGAACCTGAACAGGGCACCATTTGGCGATCAGTTCAACCAACGACGTAGCCCAGCTATCCTTGTAATCCTGACCTAGGCCATTACCAGTTGCCCGACTTTTGCGCAAGATAAAGTCCAGCACAACCTGAGTCGTGACACGAATCTGGCCGCGGCTGCTCCCGTTGACGACAATCTGCTCCAGACACCGCAAAGCCAGCAACCTCATATCCATCTCCGCTTTTCGGTCCACATCAGCGGTATTTTGAGCCGCCAATGACGCATCCCCGTCCACCGCGTCGACCGTGTCCACAGTGGCCGTGCTAACCCTGCGTCGGTGTGCAGTCTCTGGTTCGTTCTTGTCCGCTTCGAGGAGCTTCAATTCGAGAGAACCAACCACATTGTCATCCGGGTTGTAGAGGTTCTCCAGGATGACCGGAAGAATGACCCGTATCGAATCTCCGCCATCCGCAGCCAAACCCGCTTCAGAACTAACCACACCTTTGATCGCTCTCAATCCCGCCGTCTTCCATCGAACCGTAAGCGGAGGACCAGCGGCGAGCTTCGATTGCATCGAAGGGTCGCCCTCTGCAAACCCCGCATACGACCTCACCACTTCCCGGTATTGCGTAGCAAACTCCTGTTCGGCAGATAGTGCCGCCATATCTTGATGTCGGCAGAAGGTCTCGAAGGTCTCAATAGAGTCCTCGACCATGGAGATATCCTGCGAGCGTACGACCGTTTCGAGGACTGTCATGACCGACCGTGCGTAGATCGGCAAGTCGCGGGGAACTTTCTCGATGAGCGCGCTCAAGATCTGAAGCGTAACCTGCACATTTCTAGAGAACACAACCACAATGTCAGCTGGGCTTTCACCGCAATTTCCCGCAGACTATGTGCCAATTCCATCCATGACCTTTCGCTCACCCTCCCCATTATAAACTCACCCTATCTTGCGGCGCCACACATCCCGAGCGGCTCTCTTCTCCAAAAAGGCGCCGACCTTTGTCAGCTTGCTGCGGCGGGTGCTCACATAGTAGAGCAGATAAGACAGTTCACTTGAGTTTGGCTTGACCACCTGCACTCCTTTCTGGTATTGTGGATAGCATTTCAGGACCAGAACCTGATGTTTCGGTCTGCATTTCTGGCGTACACCCTCCATCTGCTAGGGTGTCCGGGGAGGCTATTCAATGTCCGTGCTTTGGGGTTTCAGCGGTAAAGGGCGTCAGGCGCGATTCCAGAAAGTGCCAGGGGTAGTGGCTGGGAGATACAGAATTTAGTGGGTCAGAAAAAAGAGTCTGGAGCCGGACATGGAGTCGAGGTAATTGAATGGTTTAGTGTACGCGTCACGGACACAGTGACCGGTGGAAAAATGATGTCCAGGGCAAGATAGTTAAGTCACCAAGGGGTGGGGTCTGTCCATCGGATATATTACTAGGTAGTAGTCGCCAGCTATGTCGTGGCGGGTCGTCTGTCCCAGGAACGAATGGTAAGTAAGGAGTGACGCTGCGGTCTTACGGCAGTTCAAGTGTGCTCAAGGAGAGCGCGGCAGGTGGAGTACGCAGAAGGGCATGTGCGTGTGGAAAGGGAAGAAAGAAAAGGCGAAAGAAAGACAGATGGGTGGGAGTTGTAGTGACGGAGTTAAGAAGGAACCTGTCGGGAAAATCAGTCTGTTCCTCTCTGGCCCCGTGAGACTTGGCGATCGTCGTCGATTTAAGGAGTTTATTATTACCAGGCTTACTGGTAGATTGTATATATGGCGTCTATCAAATATTTTTGCTCTTTCTTTCTTATTTTCTAAGCATTTCTATATCCAATTTCAATTCTTGTCTTTCTTTCAAAAGGAAGGAAAACAAAAAATAATAATGAAGTAACGGCTCACGTCATAGCTAAATGAACTCGTATTTGTCGAGAAATAGACAAGTGTACACAACAACTTCAACATTCAATACTACTAAAATACTAAGAACATCTTACATTCCAAGCAAAATCCATTCCCAATTCCATGCTACCACCATCGGTCACAAGGCGCGCTCCCTTTATGCATGCTTTCCTATGTTAGTTAGATACGTACAAGCATAACAATCACCCGTCGAATATTCGCAGGTGCTCTCCGCATTTAGGGAAGATATACCGAACGATGATCAAGCTACATCCCGAACTATGCAGCATAGACATAGCGAGTACCTAAAAAAAGGACGTTATGCCACCTCACAGGGTACAAATAGCCGACCTTGACGAACTATTCAAGGAAAAGAGTGCGTACCTCGGTCACACATGACGCTCCGCGCCATCGCGAACCAAGCGGCATCAGTGCGTCCGGACCTCGATCGAAGCAACTTCGCGGGGAAGAAGCAAAAAGGTTTTGAGAAAACCCAATTCTTTTACCCTCCGGTGTAGATCCCCTGAGACTTCTCCGCCGCCCGCAACGATTTCCTTTTTAGGTTGTATCCGAACAGACCTATCGTAGAGACCGAGGGAAATGTCCGCGGCTCTTCTTTACATTCATTCCCTAAACCCGAGCTCAGGTCTTTGAACTATTGTTATTCCCCGCTTCATCCTGTTTCCCTTGTTCCTCCTTATCTTGTTCCCCCTCCTGTTCGATGGTTGCACCGCCTGCTTCGTTGATGTTGGTCCCCGCTAGCCCTTCGATAACTTGGGGGCGAATGATGTCGCGGCGGAACCTGTCTTCTTGGAGGAGTCGTAGCGCGCGGAGGGTAGCACCAGGATGAGTTAGGAATTGCGCATAGTCAGGAGTTTTCCAGTAGGAGTAGAGGTACGCAAGGTACGCGGCGAAGGCCTGGGCGTCAGGATCCGCAGTGTCCTTGGTCGCGTCGCCTTCATCGCTGGCGTTGGAGATTCCTAACAGATGGGGGTATGTGACTGCGAGGTGCGAGAGATAGTATGGGTGCCAACGAGGAGACGAACTCGAGCTCGAGAGTAAAACGTGGATTTGTGAGAGTCGGTGGGGGTTGCTCGGGTTGACCGGTGGGTGGTTGTGGCTGGTCCATGGCGTAGGATCAATAGGTTTATTGGAACGCTAAGCGGAGGGAATTATAAAGACAGCTGCAACGACTGTGAGCAATAGATTGGTTTATCGTGGAGAAATCATGAAATAGCGGAGGGTAAAGGGAAAGGTACGGTCGGTAAGGTCGAATGGGTTGTTGCTGTTGGGAGAGTTGGAGATGAAAGGTGATGACATTTCTGGTAGGCTAAGCTATGAAGGGAAAAGGCCGCGGAGTGCGATATAAATATTGCTTCATCTTGACTTCACACTGACCCACTACTTTCTCCTCACTGTTCAGATTTGTGAAATCAAGCTCAGATGGCATAATACAATACCTATAGGACATAATTAAATGTTTTGGGAAGTTGGGTATCAATGGTCCCTGCATAAGTTTATACTAGTAGTATACCCACCCGTACAAATTCCGGTAGTGGGAGAGCTCACTTTTGATGTCTTCCTAGAGATATTAATATCCTCCGTATTATTTACTCTCATCTCCTTCATTGATTGTGAAGATAATGTGAAAAGAAACCAACGCATATTCTATACTCAATTCTGTCTGAGTTTAGCTGCGTCAATATATATATGTCCCTGTATGTGGGCATGTGAGAGCGAGAGACGGTTGAATATATACTATCAGGGATTTCATGCCACGAGTCAGCGAACGAGAACCGAGCCGTCACTTGACCCTCTAGACAAAGAAAGCCATCGTCTACTATCCCTAGAAAGTATGATGTACGAGCACCGGACTCAAGCCCTAGTCGAGGAACATTCTATAAAGGTAAATGTCACTCCGGTACCTGAGTCGAGCCTTGGCTATGTCTCCTGATTCTTGTCGCAGCCCTAGGGCAACCAATACAATTTCTTCACTAAATCCATTCAGTGAGTGAATCTCGTATCTCTGCAAAGGTTTCTCGCTTCGACGGAGACCTGATATTAGATATTTAGTAACCCAATCCACTCGCCGTCCACCCTCCTCTTCCATCCATGGCCCACGGAAGCGTGAACGATGAATGACACCATCCCAAGCCCCTCACATCCGAACATAATCAAAGGAAACCATTCCATTATTTCCCCCAGGAATAGCCCACGTGCCCAGCCAGAACCTTGGCATGGTACTCCGTGCCAAGCCACTCCTGGCTTGGCGGAGGGCAAGGGCCGTCATCCAAGCTTCCCCATTGAACGCCCCTTCTGCACGTGTAGAAGATGGAGGATTCCGATTTGTCTACGGGATCCTTGCAAATGGTTCCCTGGTAGAATTCGCCAAGCACAAGGTACAAGGATTAGCAGCTTTCGAATGAGATTATCTCCCACGTAGACTTAGCCCACATCATCCCACCCAGTCAGAGATGGACGACCCGTACACAGGAGATGAGATAGCCATGCGAGGGTGGTATCTGGTCGTCGCATTCCCTTGGCATTCTACACTTTAAAAGGGCGTGTTTCTCCCACCTGGGAATTGATCTTCCTTTGTCCTTCAGTTGCAGGCCTCGTGTTCTACTTCTGCCTCGAGATCACATCATCTACATTACGATGAGGCTCGTCTCAATTGTAGGCGCGGCGATCTTCGCCTCCTGCGCTGTTGCCCAAACTTACCAGCGCTTGGGTGGCTGTCCAACCTTGGGCTGTGTTTTCCCTCCCGACCAGTATGCCTTTTATCCTTTGATTGTCGTGACTTCAAGTCAGTGTAATTGGTGGTGGTAGAGCACTGGAGCTAATTGCTGTACTCCTACTAGGGCGGATTTCCTTCCCGGGCAGTACTTCGATATACGTCTTGAAGTTCACTCGCCTGTCAATGGCTCTGAAGCTCGCCAGGGCCAGCCTGATCCAGACTTCAAATTTACTATCGCGAAGAAAGGCGAAGATGGGGTTGCCGCGGCAGAATATTTCGAGATCGACGAGCCGGAACTCGAGAGATGGAACTTTACCTGGTATGAAGGTAGGTTCTGAAACGCCCCAATGTATAAGATAGCATCGACTAAGTGGTGTAGACCTGTTCGCGAAGGATGCGGATAAGCCCTCTCTCGTCAATGTCACAGCCAAGGCATACAGAAGGGTCGCTCTCCACGAGCCTGGTGAGTACGAGGCGACGTTGACCTATTACGGTCAGGAGAAGACAGTTGCCAACTGGCTGGTGCGCAACCTCCCAGAGAAGCGACGGGCGAAGAACGTCGTTCTCTTCGTCGGAGACGGCATGACAACTAACATGATCACGGCCGCTCGTTTGATCGCTCACCGCAGCATTAATGGCAAGTACTTGACCAAATTGCAATTGGACAAGTTCCCGGTCTTGGGCCACCAGATGACCCACTCGATGGACTCCTTCATCACGGACTCGGCCAATTCGGCCACGGCACTCTATACGGGCCAGAAGACCACAGTGAACGCTCTGAACGTCTATGTGGACTCGTCGGAAGATCCTTTCGATGACCCGAAATTCGAGACCATTTCCGAGATCTTCCGCCGCCGGTACCCCGATGCCGGTATTGGAATAGTCTCGACTGCTTTCCTGGCCGACGCCACCCCCGCTGCCTTGGCTGCTCATACTCGGGACCGTGGCGAGTATGACCATGTTATCAGCGCTTATTTTGAAGGGCTGACCGAGTATGAATGGACAAACTGGGACGGTCCGGACGTCCTCTTCGGCGCCGGTGCAGAAAACTTCGTTACCAGCGAAGACGCGCCTAGGGATTACTACCAACTGTTCTCCGAGAAGGAATATAGTATTAGCTGGAACAAGACCGCGCTGCAGGCTGCCCCGAATGACACCAAGGCCCTAGGTGTTTTCTCCACATCCAACCTGGCTACTTGGCTCGATCGCAACGTCTACCAGGAGAACCTTCGCAACCAGAGCAACTATCCAGATGGCTCAAAGCGCGACGCAGAGGATCTTCCTGGGCTGAAGGAGATGACCCTCAAGGCAATCGATGTACTGACGCCCGGCATGAGGATGATGGCTGGTTCCTCATGTCGGAGGCCGCCAGTATCGACAAGCAGATGCACTCCTTGGATTACGACCGGTCTCTGGGCGAACTGCTAGAGCTTGACGATACCGTGCGCGCCACGATCGAGAAGCTCGAAGCCCTTGGACAGTTGGAGGACACTCTTATTATTGTTACCGCTGACCACGGCCACGGATTCGACGTCACCGGCTCGGTTGACACCGAATACTTGAACGCACAGGAAGATGATCGCGACAAGCGACGGGCTATTGGAACCTATCAGAATTCGGGACTCTCGCAGTACACCGTGCGCGGCCCTAACGCCTTGCGGTACTCGGAAGGGGTCCATTTCCCGGCCCGCTGGGATCCGCGCTACACTCTGCATGCCGGTGTGGTGGCGTTCCCCGACCACCAAGAGAATTATGAAGTGCACAAGGAGGGACCTCGGACGCCCGCGACGAAGCGCAGTGGATCCGACGGCTACTTTGCCAATTACAAGGACGCGGTGACTGGGTTTTTGGTTAACGGCACTCTACCCGTCGATGCGAACCAGGGCGTGCACTCATTGACGGATGTACCGGTGTTTGCGCAGGGCCCTTGCCAGGAGCTGTTTGGTGGCGTGTACAGCTCGGTGGACATCTTCTTCAACATGGCCGAGTGTCTCGGGTTGGCTGACCATGGAAAGAATTAAGCTCTGGCAGTCATTTGTTTTTCGTTGCTGTTTCCGGGGGGTGGTGTTAATTTGATTTTTGATCGTAGGACAGCGGATCATGTACAGTAAAACTCTAATGAGAGATCTCAGATGAATGAAGTAAACTTTGAATTTCTTTAAGCCCCTTAGAGGAATGTTGACGCATGTCTGAGGATTTTCCCCGACGTCATCCTTTTCGACGCGGCCACTGGTGATGCAGTACTCTGGACTCCCTGCAGAATGCAGTCGGAGGCTGGGCCGTTCTACTGTACTTTGGTTAAGGAAACCAACGGAGAACAAAAAGAAAGGCAAAGCGCAAGATTCCGTCATCAAGCATCCAACAGGCCCTGTCTGCCAGGGCGTTCCGATGTAAGGGTCCCAGTGGATAATTGCCAAGGAAAAGGATAACGTAGGATACTGACTAACAACGTCGATCATTGAGGGACGAAAAGCCAAATCGACCGCCGATCAGTTGCAGAGTGAAGCTGTTCTGTGTGATTGAGGGGTCACTGCTGCAACGTACCTGGTCGGGATGGAATATAGAATCGAAAATATTGATTGCATTGAATTAAGATTGTTTCTTAACCTTTTTGTATACACTGTCCATTTTCCTTGCGGAATGTTATTTTGAGTAATTCGTGTATGTGGAAGGGTTAAAGTTGGTGGTGGTGGTGGCGTATTTTTCTCAAAATAGAATGGGCTTCAATTGTCCCGTGATATCGCTCAATACGAAGTATAGAATTGGTTGGTTTGCTCTGTGTCTTAAATCAAGGAAGTAAAATGATCAATAGGAGATTTCTCTTTGCTTTTTCTCCTGCCCCAAAACTGCAGAACTTCCATGTATAGTACCTGCACCAGAACCAGTTCCTGTGCCTTATGCCTAAGATAGTTTAGTGGTCTGGTTTGATGATTGATTTCTGGGGTATTCGCAGGCAGCAAGTCATTTCCGGTTTTGAGCCCCGGTATTAATATACGAAGTCGAGCATGGCGGGTAACGATTCAAGTGTATTAAACGGATCTAATACATTGACTAAGTGATGATGGGGGGCAGTCTGCCACTCAGGAAGCGGTGTTCCTGTTCGCCGGTGGTAAATTACAAGGGCGAGGTTAGTGAACCTCGGGAGGAAGAGGACGGTTCCCTCCAAGCTACATTAGTAGGTTCTTCTACTACTAGTACTAAGTAACTACTGTCGTTACTCAAGCTATCCATGCATCCCCACGGGATTGACTCAGTGGATCTTGCTCATATGACTGACTGTTCGGGTGCACTGGGAGAGGAACAGGGAAAGCAGAGAGAGAGAGAGAGGGAGGGAGAGGGAGGAGAGCTCATTTTGCCGAGCAATCTAATACTAGCAGGATATTACAAATCTACTATATATAACTAACTAAACCCTTGGGTTGGAGGCAGTAACCCCAATCCGGCAGTTAGAGTGGATGATGTCGATCTGTATTTTATTACCAGTGGTGGTGTTGATATTGATTGATTTACGCTGTCTATTGTTTATTTGTTGGTGTTGGTTTATCAAAAGTGCGTGATATCTCGATGGCTATCTCTAATAAATCATATACGTATTAAATTTCTCTCTCTCGGGATAATCTGAATAACAGTAATAGAAATCAAAATTCAAGCAAAAATGAACCGATAAAAAAAAGAAAAAAAAAAAAAAATAAAAATAAAAATAAAAAAAGAAAGAAAGAGAATTACAGCTACTGTGGGACATCTCTTGTCACTTTCTCTCACTTTCTCTATGCTCTTCTCCAATGATGGAGAATAAATCTCCATGAATCCACCTCGTTCCTTCCTCCCACCCCCCTTTTTTATTAATTCCCTCCGACGATCCCTTCCACTGGACAGGTCCCAAGGGGCGCTCCGCCGCTTCGTTTCCCGTCAATCAACCATCACTTTACTACTTTACACAACTCTCTTTCCACTCCTTCCTTTCTACTAACTAGGGTACTAGTCATTTCCCGTTTCTCTCTTTCTCTCCCCTTCGCACGTTTCCTTCCCTTTCCTTTCTTCTTTTCTTCCGCCACACCCCTCCTTGGTTTAAAAAAAACAGAAGATCAAATGAAAAGAGACAAGGGGATTTCGCCATCCACGCAAGCTAAAATACTAGTCTCAACGGTCTAATCTATCTCCATAACTGCATCTCCGAAATCTCCTGCAATCAAAATCCCCCTCCAATCGTCACCGGCCCCCTGACCGACTTCCGAGGCATCGCTGTTTCACAAACCACCAGCTGGGGGTTTTTTTTAATTATTTTCTTGTTTGCTAGCTCGGCGCTTGCGATCGATTATCGCATTATTAGAGCTCTCCTTTATTTCCCGTGATCGTGTTTTATGCTTCCCCTGTCATCCCCAATCGTCGCTTTTCACTCGCCCATCCTCGTGGACGCATTGCGTGTTCCGCCAACATGAATGCCTCTCAGCAACCTCCCACGCTCTCGTATGCTTATCCACCCGCCATGGCGCTGGGTCCGCAAGGTTCGTCATCCGCCTTTTGTCTGGTTGGGCTCAATCGCAGAACGTTTCACATCGTTGCGGGGCCCGACTCCCCTTATCAGTTGCTTCATTCCGTCGTCATTTTAGACCGTGTCTGGCCTGCGAGTGCTTAGAGATAAAACTGACATGGATTTTCTATTTCTTGTACAGTCTCCCCGGTTCGTCAACCGTCGCCACAAGTCCCAGGGGTGAATCTGGGCTCCAACAACCCCTTCAGGAACCGTGCTCTCTCACCCTCAAACTCTATTGCCTCAGGTAGTCGCCCAGAACGACCAACCTCGACGAATCCTTTTCTCGACGATTACGGACCCCTGTCGCCACAGTCGGCACCTACTGGCACTGGAAGCATAGTGTCCCCCATCGATCGGTCCGATATGACGAACAATACGCGCGATATCTTTGTATGGCTCCTATTGAAAGACGCCACACCACCCAAACTGATCTAACTGTACATCTTTCTCGCATAGGAAAACCTCTCGCTCAACTCCAATCCAGCCCCCCAACAAACGGGCTACCGACCCGCTCCGTCTCGCCCCGATCGGCCTTTGCAGAATGGTGGTGCTTCGAGCGGTCACCGCCCAACCACGTCGAGGGAACGTCCAGAACGCCGAGAGAAAGATCCGCTAGACATCTTCGCTGACCCGCCGAGTGCAGGCCTGCCGAGGCCCCGAGATCGTGATCGCCGGCCTCGTCGGAACTCGGAGTCGTCCATCATGGAGCGTCCCAAGCTGCTCGACCCGGAAGACGAGCGGCGCCGACGGGAGAGGAGGCGCCGGGAACGGGAAGCTCGTCATCGGGACGGCAAGCCTCGTTCCTCGAAAAAGGCCAACTACCAACTCGACATTATTGACAAGCTCGATGTGACTAGTATCTACGGCACTGGAAGTAAGTGGCCCCCACCTGACATCGTTTTTTATTTCTGAAGCATCCGACTAATGCGTGGGTAGTGTTCCATCACGATGGGCCGTTTGATGCGTGCAACCCGAACCGCAACCGCAAGGGCTTACGCACAGCCCCCATGCAAGCCTTCCCTGCAGATTCTGCCAACATGGCCTTAGGAGGCTCTGGCCCCGTCAACCAGAACATTAATCTGGACCTGTTCCACGGAAGATCAGAGCAAGGTTATAACGATTATGGCGCAGTCGAGACTCGTAAAACAGAAGGCGTGAACTTCGATCCGACATCGCGGATCGAGCCGGTGCATGGCGAACAGAGCATGGGATTAGGAACCAGTACCTTCTTGGATGGGGCTCCAGCCAGTAAAGCCGCCATGCAACGCCGTGAGAGCGAGAATGATCAACAGATCAAGCAAGGGGCGGGGGGCCTGCAACGGAAGAAGAGTTTAGCGCAGCGACTCCGTGGGGTAGGTAGCCGCCCGTCCAACGGTCGCGTGATATCACCTGAAGCATCCTATATGGCACCCGCGGGTTCCGGCCATATCGGAACGATCAAGGCCAACGAGAAGAATCCATTCTTCCAGGATTATGATGATGCATGGGAGAAGAAAGGTGCTCGGATCGCCGAGGAATCACAAGGACTGGGACGAGCTCGTTCTTCTAGCAGTCCGAAGCAAAGTTCCGGCCTGGAACGGAGACATACAGAGGACCGATCATACGGATATGACGAGGGTCGTAATGCCAACGGGAGTGGTGGTGGTGGTGGTGGTGGCTTTATCAATCGGATGAAGAGCTTGCGCAAGCCCCGTCCTGAGAGACGAATCAGTGACGACTGAAGGCCTTGAGATGTCCTTTTTATCATCATTATTCTGTACTCCTTGCATTGGGACCGCACCACTGGTCGCTTAGGAAGGCACAGATGGAATAATACTGGAACGCATCATTTCACAGCCCACCAAGACAATCTCCCAAAGGTGGATAGCAATGTGGCTTGGCCTAGTACCTCAGGAAACCTTTCATCGATTGACATCAGGATATCACAACTACAATGATGCCCTGTGAGTCTGGGAAAGTCCATTCCCGCAGGAGGGGTGGCAGGGACAGGCAAATATAGGATAGCCTGGGGCTATCTATGGTGGGTGGTACATGGTTTTATTTATTCACTTGGCAGCGCGGACGAAAATGGACGGCGTTGGTTGATGGTTACTCTAGGGCTGGGAACGGATGCCTTGGGACTGGTTTTCTGTAGTTTCTGTGTGGTTTCTTTTCTATTCAGTAGTTTTTGTCAAATCACATGCTGTATTGTATGTCTTATCTGACTGATAGTTGAACCTTGGTATCAATATTCACTTCCAAATCCACAGAAACACAACACTGAAGATCCAGAACTCCACATCCCGAATGTAGAGAGATATCTCACCATAAAACCCACAAGAAAGGATTCATCCATGTCAAATATATCAGATTAATCCAGAATCCACACATTAATGTACCTCTTTCATATTTCTATTAAAAAGAAAAGAACAAAAAATTGATATCATAGCAACCCGAATAAACCCACATTAATTAACGTAAACCCCGCGCAATTTATATTCACATGAGATCTAGTAAGCCCGAGGCGCGGCCGCCTTAGGAATATAAGGGTTCGGCGCAGCAATACCCGCTTTCCGTCTCGACTGAGGCTTAGGTCTGGATAATGTGTACCTGTTTTATAATTGTCAATACCGTGTTACTTGCAAATGAAATGAAGGTAGAGAAGGTAAGGAAAGGGAAAAGGAGCAAGGACATACTTGGCAAAAGCGCGAGAGAGAGCCTTCTTGCAGGAAACCTTTTGACTGCCGATGAAAGAGTCGACTGTTACTGCTATTGCGCGGTCGATGTCTTGACTGGAGCAGTATTCTGATAGACGCATCTTGCAGAAGGATTCTGCGATACGCATGATGGCTTCCAAGTGACGTACCTGTGGATGTGTTTATTAGTTTTCTTTTATCTGGTGTGTGGGGTTTATTTGTGGGAGCTTACGGTAATGGGGTATGCGCCAGTTGCGAGGGATTCGCGGCGCATGTCTGCGAAAAGTCGGGCGATCTTGTCTTGGTCGATTTGGTAGAGTTTCGGGTGGCAGCGTTCACGGGCGTAGAGAATGTATTTGCGAAGGAGTTCCTGGGGGATTTCGCCCTCTTTTTCATCTTCGATTTTGCGGTTTGCGGCTTCACGAGCGGCGATTTCTTCGGGAGTGAATGGCAGGCGGCTCCCATCCTTATCGAGGCGGTAGCCTTCTTCATCGATGCGGTTGCCGTCGCTATCGATTAAGTTGCCTTCTTCGTCTCGCAGAGGACGGGCTGGGTTGGCGCGATGGTGAGATTCTACAACGAAGTTGGCAAGGCGTTCGTCTTCAGCAGGATCTACGAGATCGCGGACGACGCAAAGTATGTCGAAACGAGAGAGAATGGGTTCAGTGAGCTCGACGTTGGCGTTGAAAGGTGCAGTACTGTTGTAACGGCCGCCGACGGGGTTGGCTGCTGCGACAACGGCGCAACGCGCTTGTAGCGTGGTGACGATACCGGCTTTGGAGATGGAGATGGTTTGCTGTTCCATGGCTTCATGGATGGAGGTACGGTCTTGGTCGTTCATCTTGTCGAACTCATCGATCAGGCACGTACCGCGATCTGCGAGAACGAGGGCACCACCTTCCAGAGTCCATTCGCTGGTCAGCGGGTCGCGGCGCACGCTGGCTGTTAAACCGACGGCACTGGCACCTTGACCCGTTGCAAAGACGGCACGGTGGGCGGTCTTCTCAACGTATTTCAGGACTTGAGATTTGGCAGTACCTGGATCACCCAGAAGTAGGACGTTGATATCTCCACGGATCGACATCTTTCCTTGGGCTTGCTTGCTAACACCACCAAAGAGGGAGAGAGCGACGGCTGTTTTCACGTCTTGGTGGCCGTAGATACTTGGGGCAATAGAACGGACTATCTTGTCCACGATTTCTGGGTCTCGCGAGAGGGCACGGATCTCACGCTCATCTTCTTCAGTCAAATGGAAACCAGCCAGCTGGTCGTGAGACTTGATAACATGGTTTGCTTCGATAATAGTGGCGAACACAGGGAATCCATTCTTGTTGTTGAGCTGGGCATCGTAGCTGTTGCGGTAGATACCAGTCACTTCAACTTCGTCACCAGGCTTAGCGGAATCAATGAGGTCTGCAAGAAGGATCACTTCACGTTGGCGTGGAAGTCGTCCGGCGGGGACGGAGCCAGGCGATTCTTGAAGAGTCATCTTCTGGTAGTTGCGGTAAACGGTCTTCTCTGAGTTAACGGTGAACGGTCCCTTGGACTGGCAGTTCTGGCAGTAGGAAATCTTGACTTCCTGGCTGGCTTCCTGCTGGAAAGGCCCCAGAGTAATATTACATTTGCCACAAACGAACATGATATACTTCAATTGCGGGAATACACCACTGCGGCGCGTGACGACACCGGTGACACGCACCAGGGAATTGAGATGAGACTGGCGCAATTGGCGGAGAGTACTAATGGTAGGAAGGTCGATGATGCGAACGTGGATCTCATTATGGATGTCGTGATACTGGGGGTAATGGAACAATGTGACATCAAGAGCGACCTGGTCGAAAACTTTCAGAACCTCGGTGGGCTCATTAGCCACGAAGTATGCCAATACAGCCCTGGTGCTGGACAAGTGATCGTAGGAGACTTCGAGAGAGGCCGAGTTAACCTCACCAAGAGTCTTGATCTTGTTTCCGTACACCGAAGCACCGGAGTCGTCAGTGAACTCGGTCAAGAAGGCCTTGAATTCTCGGTAGATGGAGCGCAGGACTTGAGGCTGCAACACCCAGTCTGTGACATTGGGGGCCTTGATATCCATCATCTCTTCCAACGACAGGTCTTCCATGCCACCTTCACCCATGTCAATATCTTCTCGGTCCTCATCGTAGTGATGCCTCCGCCGGCGAGGCTGGCGGGTAAGATCTATGTTTTGGTCATCATCGTCTTGCAGAAAAGCCCGAGGCATGCGACTGCGCCGTGCCAGTTCCCGATCTCTCCTGTTCAAGCGAGCTTCCAGTTGGCGACGTGTGCCTATGTCTAGCTCTTCTTGTTCTTCGTCATCAATGTCGGCTCCCTGATAACGATCGTCTTCTCGGCTCGTGTAGTCTCTTTCGAAGCTGTCACCGAATAGGTCAATGCCCTCTCCTTCCTCTGCCATTTCGTCAAGGTCATCAATATCTTCCAGAAGCTCTGCTTCCTCATCGCGGTCGTCATCTTCAAAGGGAAGCATAGGAGGGGAAGAGGGGGGGGCTACGAAGTCAGTAAGGACACAGAGCAGATTCTTTCTTCATGCTTTGACTTACGACTAGAGGGGGGGGCAATTGAAGATGTTTCATCATCGGGCTCTCTGTCTCTCTTGCGACGGTTCAAGTTGCCTAGTCCACGGTTTGCGGCGGTATTACTGGGGCGAAGTGGTGAACTGTACAGATCTTAGCCTTGCTTAAAAAGTTGAACAGCAGGGAGAAAAAGAGAGAAAAATTTTTGGTATGGATAAAATGCGCTACATGCAGGATATATTTTAGTACATACCTCATTGTGTGTGTATATTAGTGTGAGGGAGGCTAATTTGAAAGAATGACAAAGTGAACAAAACCCACAAATGTTTCTGAGTGAGGAGGGTCTTTTTGGTCTGCTGCGAGGAGGAGCAAAGGGAGGGATTCAATCAATCGGTTGCTGGGGCGGTGATGCGTGCGGGTACTGAGAGAACGCGTCAAAACGCGACACGACGCGTCGTTTCAATTAAACCCGGATTAGGAAAGTATATGACTTGATGCCTGATAATACACCCCAGAAGCCTAGGCATGGCGTGGTGGCGCTAATATAGAAGCTCTGGTGCAAGTTTCTACGCGCTACCCCATTCTTAGGGACTCGCTCAGTGTGGACTGAGACTTGGAACATTTATATCTCCTCGTTTAGCATGATTATCACGATAGTGGATGAAGCCCTGGAACAGGCATACTGTATGACTCGCGATGCGCTCCACAATCAATATTTCCATGGTTTAAAAGTAAATGAACTTCAAGTTATACTCTCATTATTGATCTAAAAAATAAGTATTGATATATGTATATAACAATATGAAATGTAAAGCAAATAAAACATGCTCGGCTCATCACTAACTGCAAACAAAGCAAACACTTAAAGTGCTCTGGCGCCGCGCCGTGTCTGAACGCATGAGAGCTAGGCGCAAAACAGTTTCTGTTCATCCTACTATCGCCATTTGATTAGTATACTTGTATCTAAATCAGCGGCTTATTAAATCAATATGGATAACTCTGAGACCGTGCCATCTGACGCCGACCAGACAAAGAACGGCCACAATGCCAGCAATCGGCGCGAGAGCTTCAGCTCGCAGAACTCGCAGACTGCGAAAGAGTACGTACTCACTCTATCTCAAAGCTGATCAAGAGTACACCCGTGCGATGGGTGATCTAAAATAAACCAACATCTAACACTACACTTTAGGTTCATCGAAAGTCAGATGCAACTCGAAGCTGATGCGCGCGAAATCTTACCTTATGTGAGCATAGTACCTGCGATGGACCACGACATAAAGACCTGACCTTCTAGTCATTCGACTCCTGCACGAAAGATTTAGGGCCATTGCGACAGACTTTATATGCTTGCTTAACCTGCAACCCTCCTCCAAAGACCGCCGATGTGCCGCACACCGCAGCAGGGGTGTGCTACTCCTGTTCCATCGCCTGCCATGGCGAACACACACTCGTCGAACTATTCAACAAACGAAACTTTGTCTGTGATTGTGGTACGAC